AGGCAGCGTCATCTGGGTCGGGTGATGCCAAGGAGACTTTTTTGACATCAGGAGCTCCTTTGCTGGGAGTGATGTGTATGGGAGTGTTCCAAACCCCCCCATAAGCATTCTCCGGCCAACCTGTCCCTGCCCCTCTCCCTGTTTGGCCCCAGGTGGTTGGCTCTTCCTAGACCCTGGGGGGAAACCCTCCCGTTCCATCACCTCATCTCCAACTCCCAGCTCCTGGGGTCCCGTCCTTTCCCAGTTTGGATTTGCCTTTGCTGGTCTTTAGAGTCACCAGCCAGCCTACCACCCTGTTCGTACCTGCTGGTTTGCTTTCCGAAGTGCAAAGTCCTCCTAAATCCACCCTATTCTTTCAGGCTCACCAAGGAGCCGAGGACCTTTCCAGCAGAGTAGCTTAGAGTGCACCTCCGGGGTCTCACTGCCTGAGTTGGAATCCGCCCCCCCCGCATCGCTTGCCATCCTGTGACTCTGAGCAAGTGACTTCCCATTTCTGTGCCTGTGTCCTCCTCTTCAGGAGGAATCTACTAGGAGTATTTACCTTTGGAGAAGTAAGTGTGTCCACGTGTGTGTGTGGTAGCCCGAGTGGAGACTGGCGAAGCCCCTGCTCGGCATTAACACTGGTGTACACGGTGCCTTCCCCGGTGAACAGGGCTGATCTGGGTCCTCAGAGGGGTATTGCAGAAAGGATGGTGTGTGACCTCCGAGCGAGCTCGTCCAAGACAGCGTGGCTCCTGCCTTCCTCTCTTGAACCCCCCACTCCGGGGAAACCCAGCCACTGGGTCATGAGGACATGCAAGTGGGCCTATGGAGAGGCTCCCCACGCCAAGGGACGGAGGCCTCTTGCCAACAGCCAACACCAACCTGCCAGGCATGCGAGTGAGCCATCCTGAAAGATGATCCTCCAGCCCTGGTCAAACCTCGGATTTCCGAGACCTTGACCGACATCTGGACGGCACCCTCGTGGGAAGTCGTGAGCCAGAACCACCCAGATTAAGCTGCTCCCGAATTTCTGATCCACAGAAACTCTGAGATCATGTTTTATTGTTTTAGACAATTAAGCTTTGGAATAATTTGGTACAGGGCTGTCGGTTAACTAATACGGTGCACGAAATGCTTGGAATCATGTCTGACACATCGTTGCCATACGGGGTAGCCAGCGTTAACATTCGTTTTACAGGGAAGGAGACTGAGTCTGAGGATGGTGAGTGACACGTAGCTGGGAAGGGCATGGCGAGTTATGTCGTGAACGCAGGGCCCTTCGGTGCCAAGTCCTAGGCTCCTTTATTGGTCCCACTGTTCCCGTGGCCTGCTGCCAAGTAGTAAGACCTAGTGGCAAAGACCAACCCTTTTATCATGCTCCTGGAGTTCGAGAATCTGGAGTGCCACCAGGACAAAGTGGGGATAGATTTTCTCTGCTCGTCCTGAGGTGAGTTGACAGCTGGGGGCTCTGTTATCGCTCACACGGGGACAGTAGATACTGCCTTTTGACAGAACCCCTCAATGTGGACTCTCCATGTCACCTGGGCCTCCTCACAGCATGGCGACTGGGTTTCAGAGTGGATGTCCCAGGAAGCTGAGGGCAGAGTCGCCAGTTTCTTTAGGACTTGGCCCAGGAAGTGGCCCAGTGTCCCTCCCAACATGTTCAGTTGGTCAGCCAGTGATAAAGGGAGGCACGCATAGACCCTACTTCTTGACAGGAGACATGTCAAAGAATTTAGGGGCCATTGTTTAAAACTGCCAGACCCCGAGTAGCCTCTCCTGTTGGGGGAGGGGCTCAGGAAAACCACACTCTGGTGGGTCGGCCTTACCAGCACAGGAGAGAGACACAAACACCACCAGCCTCCTATGCCGCGTCCTCATGAAGAGCTCACGTGGGGAGCGCGTCACAGAGCTCCGGGGATGGGGCCGCGATTGTCAGGGATAATTCCTGGTGTCACCCTGTGCCAGGCTCTGGCAGAGCGAGGACAAGACCTTAGGGAATGGCTTTAGAGGGGAACGCATGGTCTAGAGGGAAGATTTTTTTTTTAAGATTTTATTTATTTATTTATTTGACACAGATAGAGTGAGTATGAGCGGGAAGGGCAGAGGGAGAGGGAGAAGCAGGCTCCCTGCTAAGCAGCGAGCCCGATTTGGGACTTGACCCCAGGACCCTGAGATCATGACCTGAGCTAAAGGTGGACGCCTAACAGACTGAGCCACCCAGGTGCCGCTAGAGGGAAGATTTTTTTTTTTTTTTTAAGATTGTGTGTATTATTTGACAGAGAGAGAGATAGCAAGAGCAGGAACACAGGCAGGGGGAGTGGGAGAGGGAGAAGCAGGCTTCCCGCCGAGCAGGGAGCCCGATGCGGGGCTCGATCCCAGGACCCCGGGATCACGACCTGAGCCGAAGGCCGACGCTTAATGACTGAGCCACCCAGGCACCGCTAGAGGGAAGATTTTTAAGGAAACACCACCAACCTGATGTAACAGGTACCACATGAGAGACGTCTCGGGAAGGGACACCCCACGCTGCCTCAGGAGCTCAGAGCAGGCTTCTCGGAAGAGGTGACGTCTGTGCCGCGGGAGAAGGGCATCGGGGTATGCGAACAAGCCTAGGCAAAGGCAAGGAGCCAGGAGCAAACAAAGGGTTTGGGCAACTATAAGTGATTCAGTGTGGCTGTAGGGTGGGCAGAGCTGAGATGCAAAGCTCGGGGGACGTGGAGGGGGCAGATTCCCGCAAGGATCACAAAGGTAGATCACTTATGGCTGAGAAGTACACGTGCGGCATGAGAGCAAGGGAATGTCCATAGACTCTTGGCACTGCCGTTAACCCCGGCAGCCCGACTACCAAGCCCAAGTTCTGAAGAACCATCATTTGACGCCGGACGGGAAATCGCCCACAGCGTGGAGTTTTGCGAAGACCGCGGAGGGTGGGGCAGAGGAGAGGGGAGTAGGCAGTCGGGTGGCACCCTTGGGAGACTGGAGTCCACAGTCAGAGGGGTCTAGAGTGGGCTGGGGGCCACAGGGCAGGAGGAGGGCACAGGTAGGCTAGAGTCCTTCAAGAAGGGGCAGAATCCGTTGACCCACTGGGCGTTGGGTGTGGAAACAAGGACAACTCCAACATGTTGAGCCTGGCAAGAGGGTACAGGGGGAGGGTACGAGGCAGGTGCCGCAGACCGGAGGGGAACCGTGGGGCCTGGCTGGCCAGCAGCTGTGGCTTCTCATCCCAGCTTGGGCAGTAATGCCGCCTGGTGCCTTCTGGGCGCTCACTAGGCCTCTGTCAAAGGAATGGATGAATGAGTTGTACGATCTTGGGCAAGTTGTAGGAACTTGATATATGATCTCTGGGTCTTGCGCTCTCTTTTTTTCGGGGGGTGTAAAATGAACAGACTGGACTCGAATGTGTAAAATAAAACGGAAGGTACTTTCCTAGAAGAGGTAGGCGTTCCTCTCTCCATCCCCAGGACCTTTATGGGCACCCCAAAACAGTGGTTCTAGCCTTGGCTGGCTGTAAGTTAGATGAACTGAGGCCCCATTTGATATCACCAAATTCAGAATCTCTGGATATAAGGCCCAGGGACGGATAGTTGGTGGGTTTTTTTTAAAAAAAGATTTTATTTGTTTATTTGAGAGAGAGCGAGAGAGAGCACAAACGGTGGGGAGGGGCAGAGGGAGAGGGAGAAGCAGACTCCCTGTGGAGCAGGGACCCGATGTGGGGCTCGATCCCAGGACCCCGAGATCATGACCTGAGCCGGAGTCAGACGCTCAGCTGACTGAGCACTCCAGGCACCCCAGGATGGATGGTTTTTGAAGTTGCCCAGATGACTACGATGTGCAACTGGATGAGAACTTTTGCCCTGGAGCCTCTAGGTACCCAGTTTGAAAACCACTGGGCTAGGTGCAGGCCAGGATCCCTTCCAGGCCCAAGCCCTTGGACTGAGACTTGTGGCTGGTGACAGGTTAACTCTTTTTATGTTTCATCTTCCACCTACCCAACCCAAACCTCCTGACAGCCAGGGGACCACACGCCAGGGTTTCTCAGCCACACACAGCTGAGGTCCTGGCACAGGAGAATTGTTGGGGAGGACTCCCCTGTGCATCGTGAAGGCCAGGGAGGCCATGGAGGCCAGCACCCCCGGCTTCCACCCACCAAATGCCAGGAGCACATCCCCCAATCGAAGCAATCAAAAACGTCTCCAGATGTCACCAAATGTCTCCTGGGGTGGAAAATCCCCCCGTCCCCCCAGCTGAGAACCACTGTGCCACCCCGAGTCTCCCGTCCCCACTCTGCCCTCCCCAGTTGCAGACAGAGGCCAGGCAGGGGTGGAGGCCATTTGACAACAGGTTTACTTGGCCTTGGCAGGAGGGACGCCTCTGTGGGAGGCCAAGGCTTCACAATGTTAAATGGAGGGATAGCCTGCCAGCAGGCTGACTGATGTGGTCTCAACTCTAAAGGGAGGGAGTTTTCCAAAACACTCATTCCCGGATTCCCAATCAGTCACAAGAGGGCCTAGAGGAGCTTGTGGGGCAGGCGCCCCCGCTTTCCGAGAACAGGAGGGAGGGGGTGCGGAGGGGATTCTTTCCTTCTGTAGATATTTTCCTGGAACCAGTGACTACTCCTGTCCGATAAGCTGAAGGCTGGGGGCGGGGGGGGGGGGAGGGGAGAGGAGCTTCCCAGCTGCTGGAACCTGGGTCCCTGGCAGCTCTCTGACATTGGGACCGTGGGGACGTCTGGGCTTCGGGGTCTGGAAGGCTGAACCTTGGGGATTGGAACTAAGGGGCTGGCTGATCCTCTCGGAGGGAAGTGGATTCATCGTGGTCTTTAGAACTGGAGGAGGCTGGGAGGCTGTCCGGGTCTTCACTTGTCCTTTCTGCTTCGATGTAACTGGACCTGAGCAGGGAGACAGAGAATGGGAGGCCTGGGAAGGGCAGGACAGCGCGGAGACGGGGGAGGGACGGTGTTGGAAGGTACTGGGGGGTCAGAAGTGGTGAGGCCCGCCGCCTTCCCCCGCCCAGACTCACTCCACCACGAGGCTCATAACACCCAGCAGCAGGGCAGCTACCAAGACAGAGAGGAGCAGAATCTTGGCTTCCCAAAGATCGTGACTTCCTGCAGGGAACCCAGGAAGCAGTGAGTGATCCCGGGGACCTCACTAGTCGTTGCGGTAGGGGGTCGGGGGTGGCTGAGAGCTCAGAGACCTGAGCAAGGGGAGGCCAAGCCGAGGGGTAGAACCTGGGAGGCAGCGCTTTCGGGGCCAGCAGCGCACCTCGAATTCCTGGCAGGTGGAACAGTTATACAGGATGGTGCTGCCCCCTGCAGGAGACAGCGGGACCAGCGCTGGGGCGGGGGAAGCCGCTGTTCCCGCCTTCCAGGAACCCCTCTCCTCCCCCAACCCCCGCCCCGCCCCGCCTCCGCCACCACTGCCAGGCTCTCCTCGGGTACCCCAGGTGCCCCTGTCCTCACTACTCTTTACTTTTCTACTCACGGCAGGCGGGCGCGCAGAGAGCTGAAACCGAAGACAAGGGGGGTGGGGGAGGGGAGCCGCTCAGCCACGCCCCCTTTGCCGAGCGCCCAGGCACCCCCTCCCTGCCGGCATCAGTACCTTCCCTGGTGTAAGCTGGGAGCTTGGTGTTTTGCAGCCAACGCCAATACAAGGGGAGAGAGGAGAGAGACCCTTTGATCTCTGGGGAGACACAGGGCAGCGATATTGCCCGGCGCCTGGACGCCAGGGCAGGCTCACCTCCACCCTTCTCCCGGCACCTCCCGGATCACGGATCACACCTTCCCCGCTCCACCTGCCCGCCCTGCCCCTGCCTCCCCTCCCCCTCCCCGCTGCCCCTCCAAGCCCCTGGGTCGTGCCTTGTCCCTTGACCTCACCCATGACCCTCAGGACTCTGTGAGTCTTCTCTATGACTTTGTTCATGGATGCCTCATCTGTGGAGATGGGCAGGGACCTGTGATTCTCTCCCCACAGGGAGAGGCCCGCGTGTCCAGAGAAGGCTGTGGACTCAGGAGGCGGCTGAGGGGCCCAGCTGGGAAGCCACAGGCTGCCCAACTCGGGGTGTAGTGGCCACTGTTGCCCGGCCTGTCTCTGGATGTCTGAGCTTACCTAAGGCAAAGGCCGGGAAGCTCCAGGAGGTCCCACAATCCTTCCACAGAACCTCCACTCGGCTGCAGAGTTGAGCCAGGCGGCCCGACAAGTCACGGGCTGAGAGGTGGCAGAGGACACAGGCCTGGGCAGTGGCCAGGAAAACCCCACCTAACGCCAGCATCCACATGAGGCCTGCTGGCGAGTGGCCGACAGGGGCCAGCCCCACTGACGCTGAGAAGGCCTCCGAATGCTACGATCCTGGTTCCGACTCTTTGCCTGGAGATTCTAGCGTGTTCCAGAATAATTGGGGATTCTAGAACATTCTGGAACGGTGCCACTGTGCCACCCCTAGCTGGGGCAAAGGTGGGGCCCAAGGAACTCAGGGCCAGAAGGAGACTGGGGCAGAGAAAGCAGGGCTTCTGCTGCAAAGGGGACAGCACCCCCCAACCTGGCCCTCAGCAGCCTTGACAAGTTTGAGGTTCCACAAAGCGATTTTATTTTTCTTCTTGTAAATCATGACCAGTGATAAATCATGAGTGAGTGACCCCCAGTGAAGAAGTTGTGCGTGAGGTCCCCATTCCTCGGGGACCCAGAAACCCCATCCCTTCCCTTATCCTCCCCCCACTCTCCCTACCTCTTCTGTTCATCCCCCCTCTGCCCTGGGCAGCCTCGGCCCTTCCCAGCCATCTCCTAGCAACGTGGCCATGGTTGCCTTAGCCACCGAGAGCTCTATACCAGCCTCCCAGGCCCGACTGGGCCCACTGACTTCTGTTACCTTTCGTCAGGAAGATCCTAGTGACTCAAACCTCAACAGGCCCCTCCTGCCTACATGGTGATGTGAACATACACGCGTGTACATACACACACACCCCTTCTGATTAAACTACTAATTCTCAGTCTACTCACACCCGTACCACAAACATACCCGGTGCCAAAAGAGTTGCTGGGCAACCCCAGACAGGCCTGGACACGCAGGGACCACAGAAAGACCGGCACACACATACTGTCTCCGGCAGTGCAGACGGCAGAGACCCAACGCCAGTCAGACACACTGGCTGACACACGCTGTCAATGTGAACGAAGTAAGGCCAAGACCCGAGAAGATGCTACCCTCTTCCCTGTGGCCAACTCCATCCATATGGGGCCCTTGAAAACACTTGGCTCTCTAGAGTATGGGGCTCCAGCCCCATAGTAAATGAGGATTCTCCTAGCTCCCTTATGCCAACCTAGGGTAGGGTGTAGCCTTTCTGTCTCCCTCACTAGGTGACCTGAGACACAGCAAAGAATCCCCCTTCCCATATTCCAGAATATTCTGGCCTCTCTTTGGTCAGGCCAGGCCAGGCCCATCCAGCGGCAGGAGAAGCCACGGTCCAGGAGACCACATTACAGCAATCCAAAGTCCTTCTCTCACACTTGTGTCCCTCCAGGGTCCTGCTAGGCCTAGTCTGGGCAGAGAGGTGTCCCTACTTTTCTAGAACATTGAATACTGAGCTCCAACAAGGAGACGCTAGAGGCTGCCAGCCTCAGGCTGGAACAAGCCTGGGAACCTTCCCCACCCCTCCCAGGATTAGCACCAGTCCAGACCCTTCACATGGCTTGTGAGCCCTCAGCAGGCTCAGACTTGGGAATTGCTGCCCACACCTGGGCTCCAGTCAGGAGCAGTGGGACCCCTGACTCTCACAGCTCCAGAGGCAGAGCTAAGAAGAGGCTTTAGGGGGGCCTTCATTCCCTTTGCTGTCCATCCTCTCCCCCGACCCCCAGTCAGACGAGAGGGCCGCGGACTCAATGACGCACGAAGCGCAGAGATCGCGAATTGAGCAGGTCTTCGGGGTCAGGGAAGACGGAGTCTAGACGGAAGCCGTGCTCCAGAGCCACCCGCAGCACCTCCTCCAGGAAGCCTGGCGTGCTCACCACCTCCCGTAGCTCTCCAGGCCCCCCAGTCCACAGAGGCTGCAGCCCCAGTCTCCTGTACTCCACCTCCGGGAGTCCTGCGGGACAGGGAGCCCACTCCACACGAAAGTGTGGGCCTCCCTCTGCCCTGTCCTCACTGGCCACCCCAAATCGGGCCCGCATGGCACCCAGGCACTCGGGGTCGGTGCAGAAGATGTTGGCTCGGAAGGTATCCACTTGCACAGAGCTCAGCTCATAGTGGTGTGGGCCCCGGCGAGCAGAGAAATGCACCAGGCGGGGGCTGGCATCTACATCTGCGTGGAGCAGGGCAGCTGTGGGTACAGGGGCCCCCCGAGAGGCCTCCAGTTCCCGCAGGGCATCCAGGAGGGGCTGGATCTGGTAAAAGTCGGCCTCTGCTCTGAGAAGTGCTGTCTCCCCATACCCGCGGGGCAGGTCCAGGCGGCCCAGCCGCAGGAAATTGAGGATGTGCCGGAAGGCCTTGCCATCTCTGTCAATGAAGTAGTGTCCGCCTCCCTGGGGGTTGAGGTTGGGGGATATGGGGGTGCCGGCCCTAAACATGGCCCCCAGCATGGAATCTGGGAAGCGAGTCAGGGTCTCCAAAGTGGTGGAATATAGTGTGCCCCCCACATTCAGGGTCACAGGGCCCCCAAAAGAGGGGGGCGAAGAGGGCACAGGAGGAGGCGAAATTTTGGGGACTACAGGAGACACCGAAAGAGAAGAAAAGGCAGAACACCCTGGGTGTGGGCAGAATTGGGTCATAAAGTTCAGACTGTGTCTCTGTTGGATGCACAGGTTGGAGCACAAGGCGGTAAGATCTGGGGCTCACCCCAGCTACCTGGGTAGTGGGGGACGGTTTCCGCGCACAGACACGGCCAAAAGCTTGAGAGAACGGTTGAAATGCACAGAAGCCAGGCAGGGAGGGAAGAGAGATTTCGGTCCAGACGCATTCGATTCTGGGCGGAGGGTCAGCGACTCCTCTCTGGGGTCTTCAGATAGCGGGTTTCCGGAATCCAACCAGCAGATGACGGCGGCGAGCACAGGCCGACCCTTGGAAGGACCCCGCTTCCGAGTTCTCGGGTAGATCGCTGTCGCCGCGGGCGAGTCCACGCAGGGCCCCGGGGGCCAGTAGCAGGCCTGGCTTGGCTCCGGCGCGGGTCTCAGGAGACGGAGGCGGGGCTGACGCGAGCGGGCGGCGCAGGTACCGCCCTGTCCGCCGGGGAGCGGGGATGCGCGCTCAGCGCCAGCCGGGAGCGCCGGAGGACTCTGATGGAAGCAGCCGGGAGTCTCGGGACCCGGGCGCCGCCGCCTCTCCGGGTGTCGCCGCAGCCGCTGCAGTTCCTCTCCGCCCCCAGGAAGTGGCCTAAGGGCAGCGGCCGGGGGGCCCTTTAACGGACAGCCCCGCCCCCTGGCGCCCCGCCCCCCGCCCCCGCGAGGCTCGCGCGGCCGGGGTGGAGGTGGGAGCCGAGAGTCTGGAACCGGAGAGACGGGGCGGACGGGCCGGACGGGCGGACGCGGGCGGGGGTAGGGTCCGGAGGGTGACTCAGGCGCGTCGCGGCGGATGTGGCCGCGACTGCCCCGCAGGCCCCCAGGTGTGCCCGACATCACGTCCGCAGCTCGGCGCATGGCCCGAGGCCCGGCCGTCCCGGGCTTGGGGGCGGTGCCCTCCCGGTCGCTCCCGTCGGGAATTCCCGAGGGGGCGGGTGCTGAGCCGCCGCATTCCGGGGATGCCTCCGGGCCGAGGTGGCCGGAGCCAGCCTCTCCGTCCCGGCGCCAGCTGCCCCCTGCGGGAGGCCGGCCCCCCAGCCCACGCGGGCGGCCTCTCCCCGGCCGGGCGCGTCTGGCCACGTCGCCCGAGCCCGAGAGCCCCGCCCCAGGGCCGCCCGGCGCTAGGGCCCCGGCCGACGCGTTCACCTCGCTGTCCGGGAGCGGCCCCTCGCGTGACTCGAGCTCGCAAACCCTCACCGCTCCCGCCGCCCGGCCCGGCCCGAGGGTGGCGCCCTGCAGAGGAACCACGATGGGAAGCGCACAGCACAGAGGCTTTAATGGCCCAGGGGCCGGCGGGGGTGGGGGAGAGGGGGGCCGGGGGCCGGGGGCGCGGGACCGCGGAGGTCTGGGATCAGAGCGTGTGGAGGTCGTGACTGCGCCGGCTCAGCTTCTCCGGGTCGTCCGACGCCATGAGCGAGAAGTCGCGGAAGATGTCCAGATACGTCTCGTCTCCTGAGGGGGGAGGGAGGCAGGGCTGGGCTGGCGCCCGCCGGGCCGGAGCGCGCTGGCTCGCCCGTTCTTCGCGGGGTTCCGAGGACGTGCGCTCTCACATGCGCCCAGTGCATATTTGCGGAATAAATAATGGAATTAATCAATGAAGCCGGGCGCCACGGGGCGGGTCTTGCAGGGGCCAGAAACCCAGAAGTACAGTGTGGGGCGGGGCGGGGGGAACTTTACCTGCCTGGCCCTGGGCCGCTTCGACCTCTCTCATCTTTGCCAAGCGTAGCCTGAAGGGGAAGGAATTAAGGCCCGAATGACTTTGTCTTGACTGCCCCCACCCCAACCTCCCATCCTCTGAGCTGGGGTGGTTAAATTCACCTGCTCCCCCGGGGTCCAGTGCTTAAAGACGCTCAAGGGCCACGAAGCCCCTCACTCGGGACGAACTCACCATCCGTGGACCCTACCCGCCCCCCTTCCTACTCCACGCCCCAGTCTGTACTCGGAACAGCCTTTCTCCGGCCAGGTCCCAGAGCAGGCCCGGGGCTCCCCAAGCTCCGCCCACACGCGGGTCCGGGCGTTTGGCTCCGCCCCAGGTGGGTAGGGCAAGCGCTAGCCCCGCCCCCAGGCAGCCTCACAGGGTGACGATGTCAGCGTTGGCCGTTTCCATGGCGATCGTGAGAGGGTCTTTGCCTTCAGAGTCCCGAGCTCCCAGATCGGCCCCCCGTTTCAGGAACAGGCAGGCCAGCCTGAAAAGGATAGCCAGGTTCAGCCCGCCACTCACTCCATCCGCGCCCTTCTTTCCCGCAGCCATCCTCCCTGCCCGCCCCTACCCTACCCCGTGTGGCCCAGAATGGTTGCATGGTGGAGCGGCCCACGGCCGTGGTTGTCCGCTTGGTTCACGTTCGCCCCGTTCTGGAGGAGAAACTCACAGGCCAGAAGAGAATTCTGCACGGAGGGGTTGAGAACCGGAGAGAAAGTGGCATCTTTAGAAGGAGACCAAAGATGTTTTAGGATGGGGTCAGGCCAGGGGCTGGGGTATGGCCGTGTCAGGCTCTGCTCTAGCCCTTTAGCTGTATTCTCACCTTAAGTCCACAGTACAACCTCATGGGGTATGTTATCCCTATTTTACAGATGGGCAAACTGACGCACACAGAGAGGTTCACAACCGTGAGTGGTGAGAGCTTGGATTCAAACCCAGGCCGCCTGCTTGCAAATCACACACACCCTTAGCAAACCAGTCTCTCTCGGGTATCATTCCTAACGGGGTGGGAGGAGGGGTAAGAGCTGGGACCCAAGTCAGAGTAGGAATCAGAGGGAAGAAGCCTAAGGGTGGGGTGGGGAGGTCAGCAAGACTCACAGCAGCTGTGGCCTGGATCAGCGGAGTGGCATTCTCCTGACCGCCGTTGACCCAGTTGACATCGGCTCCGTGGGCGAGGGCATCGGCCATGGTGGGGAGGGATGGAGGGTGCCCGGCAGCTCGAAACAGCAGGGCCCCGGGGTGGAGGCTGCCCAGGTCATCGGAGGGGGGCTCTGGTGGAGGGAATCGGCTGTGAGTCTGGTACGAAATCCTCAGCCCAGTCCCCAGATGCTCTAATAGGCTAGGTCATTCCTCAGTTGCGGGAAGGCCTTCAGGGCTCTGGGGGCTGCAGTGGGAGGCGGAGGTGTGGGTGTGTGTGCAGGGCCCCTAGGGCATGGGGCATGGATAACATCATTCACCTCTTCCTGTTCAACTACCTGGACTGCCTAGAACGTCACAAGTGAGCGGACACTCAGCCGCAGCCACCTGGTTCCCTGGGCTCCAGCCAAGCTCACACCCTCCACAGGCCTCTGGGGTGGCGAGTTCCTTCTCACTCCTGACTTTTCTCATGCTGTTGAGACCCTTCCTGCCTATCCCCAGCCCTGCTACGTTCCCTCCTATTCTTCACTGAACCCCTGAAACTCTTGCCTTGTAAAAAATACCAGTGCTGGTGTGGTCCGCCTCCCGCCCCCCGACACTGGCAAGGGGAAGGCTGGGGCCTCGTGCTCTGTGCCTCCTCATCGGGCCTGGCAGAGTGCTGGGCACGCAGCCGGGCTCCGTGAATGTCCGAGCAATGCTATACCTGGCCTGGCTCTGAGGCTCCCTGGCCGGGGCCTGACGGAAGGCTTGGGGGGCAGAGGAGGCTGACCCCTGGGGGGCCCCCGGCCACCTCTTCGCCCTCGAACCTCAGGAAGCTTGGTCAGGAACTTCTTCTCCACGTACTTGGCATGAATCCAGGCCTCCTTCTCCTGCCTGGCAGAGTATGGCGGGGAAGTGGGGGGCTGTCTTCCCTCCTCCTGTCCCAGACCCTCTTCCTTCCCCACAAGTAGGCAGCCCCCGCACCTCTACCCCAACCTCACCGGGAGCAGCTGGGCCCTGGCTTCTTCACGGCCATGGCCTCCACGCGGGCCTCATAGATCTGGTTGACGACGACATTCCCCAGCTCGCACATAAGCTTCGGGCGGCCCAGGCAGGGACAGACAGGTGGGAGGGAGGTGAGGGTCTGAGCCCTCGGGGCCCTGCAGCTCTGGACTCACCCCCCTTCCCCCGCTTCTCATCGCAGCACCCCAAGTCACCTTCACCAGTTCCGGCTCCCACGAGTCAAGGGTCAGAGACCGGACTTTGGAAAAGTGAACCCCGAGGCTCCTGGCGGGCCAGAGTGGGAGTCAGGCCCTCCGTGGGGCAGCAGGCGGGTGAGCGTGGCAGCCACGGGCTGCGAGGCCTGGCTCTGCTCACTGTTCCCTCCTCGAGGCCCTTCCTCTCCAGCCACCTCCCTTCTCTGGCCCTGCCGTTCCCCTCGGGGTGGAGGGCATCCCTCCTCTCTGCTCTTCGTGGGCTCCCCTGCCCTCAAGAGCCCAGACCCCACACCTCCAGTCAAGCCCAGACTCCTCCGGCCAGACCAGGACACGGTGCCCAGTGCCAGCCAGGGCAGGGTGGGAGGGAGGGGCCTGTGCGGTGGGCTGTAGCCGCCCCCTCCCCACCCCCAGCAGGAAGGAGCGGGGCCCCTGCGCGGGTGGCGGGTGGCGGGGAGTGACCTGTGGATGCCGGAGCATTGGATGCAGAGGGTGACGCCCAGGTTGATGCTGGCCCACTCTGGGGCTGGCTCCCGGCAGTCACAGCACTGTGCATTGCCGTGCACACCCTGCACCTGGGCTACCACATGCCCAGCTCCACCGGGCTCCCTGCCCCGGGCCATCCCGCCACAGCCCAGGGTAGCCGAGGAGCTTGTGGCCGGGTATCCTGAGCCCTGGGGGCGACAGAGGAAGACAGAGAGTGGCCATGAGGCCCGGGGAAGGGGTACCTCCCCTCCCTGGGCTGCCTGGCCCTGCGCCCTCCTCGAGGAGGCACCTGGCCGGGTCCCCGGGGGCTGTCATCGAGGCGAGCCTGGCTGAAGGCCGTGGCGATGCTGCTCTGTACAGCGCTGACCCACAGCTGGAGGAGGCGCTCGGAGTCAGCCTGCAGGAGGCAGGACCTGGGCGGGAGCAGGGAGCAGGGCTGGGGGTGGGAGGGTCTGAGGCCTGGGGAGCCACGTGGCAGGGTAGGCTGGCTGAAATGCTGTTCAACTGGTACCAGTTGTCCTGACATATGAAACACCAGTTGAAGAGAGATTTGGCAACAATTGGCCCGATCTTCCTAAATATCTCCCATCGCCCTATCCCCTCCCTCCAGGACACCCCCTAATACTGCCCCCTCCCCCAATCCAGCCACAGAAGGGATAATGCCTGGTGCTACATGGGGGCCTCCAAGATGCCTTTGTGATCGGCCCTGCCTTCCCGTTGGTAAAGATTCAGACACGTCGTCGGCTGTCTGCACTCACTTGCTGGGGGACACGACCTCAAAGCAAAACCGCCTCTCTGAGTCCGGGCAGAGCTTCACTGTGCAGAGGCGAAGGTCATCCACCACCACGGTCACGGGGTCCTGGAAAGGGAAGGTGGCGAGGGGCAGCCATCCACCCGGTTGCAGCAAGGGCTCAGTGTCCCTGGGCCTCAGCATCTGGGCCCCAGGCTGCCTACCTTGTACTTCTTCTGATAAACCAGTTGGTTGCTCTGAATGGTGAACCAGCGTCTGGAGGAGGCAGAAACAGAGGTGTGGACATGGGTGGCATCGGGACAGGCTTGGGACAGGGACAGTGGAGAGGCTGTGCCCTCTGCCCCATAAGGATGGCGCTGAGAGAGCTGGGCTGACCCTTCCATCCGGGGCACAGGGCTGTATGGGGCCAGGACCCGGAAGGCGGGACTACTCACACCTCGGACAACCCAGATCGGATCATTCGTGAAGACAACTTTCCAGCAGATGGCAGTAAAATGCTTTTTCCAATAAAATTAGTCTCCTGCTATAATTTTTTTTTTTTAATTTTGTTCTGTTTTTTTCCTAAAGTAATCGCTACACCCACGTGGGGCTCAAACCCACAACCCGGAGATCAAGAGTCCCAGGTTCCACCGATGGGGCCAGCTAGACGCCCCGAGTCTCTTGCCACAATTTTTTTTGACAGGTGGAAGTACCTTACGGAAGGGGCTCAGTTTTCCAATTTGTGCAAATATCCCCTATGGGAAGGAACACAGTCAGAGCAGATGACCCCCCCTGCTCCACCCCTGCAATGGCTCCTAAGTCCCTACAGAAGCCTGGAGGCCGACAAGGCCCTCTTGTGCGTGGTGCACAGCCCCGTTGGCTCCAACTTCATCTGCCCCTACATCTTCCTACCTCCCTCCGTCCACACCCATGTGCCCCTCTCTGTCCCTCTGACCCTCCAGGCTTTGGCGCTGGCTCTTCCTCCTGCCTAGAACATTCTCCCCCCAGACGTCCTTCAAGTCTTCAGTCAGAAGGCATCACCTTCTCATGAAGCCTGCCCCGATCACCCTATCTAGAATTGCAGCTGCTCCCCAGCTCTCTGCTCCCCTGCTTTCTCCTGTTTCTCCTGCATCACTCGCCCCTTCCAACACAACAGAATTTACTGGGCGTCTTTGCTGATAGGATGTAAGTTCTCTGGAGGCAGCAGATTTTTGTCTGTTTTTCTCACTGCTTAGCGCACTGTCACCGCTCAAAACACGTTGACCTGAGCGGGTTTGGGCGAACCTGGTCCCCCCTCACCTGCTCCAGGTCTTAAATGCATTGCTGGCCCGCTTGAAGAGATGGCCTTCCATGAGCAGCCCACCAGGCCCCTCCTTCAGGCTTGGCTGTGGCTCTTCCCCACCAAGCTCCTGGGGGCACAAGGGGGTCAAAGGGCAGCTGAAGCGGGCAGAGGCCAAGGCGCCAGGCCCCACGGCATCCTGAGGCCCTCCCTCACCTTCTGCTTCAGCAGCACGTGTCTCTGCTCCATGTCCCTCCTCTCGCGCGCCGAATTCAGGACCAGCTGGTGCAACTGGGTATCGGAGGGGGTATTTCAGATGTCCCCCGGCTTCCCCCAACCAGGCCAGGCCAGACATCCCAGAGCCCCCTCCCCTCCCTCCACCACCAGCCTGCCCCCCCCCCCACCGGGGCCCCACCTGGGCGCCCAGCTCCCTGCGATACTGGGCTAGCTTGCCCAGCTCCTCGTGGCCCTGCTGGAAATGGGTAGCCTGGGCCTCCACCAGACGCAGCACCTGGGCAACAAGTGGGCAGGGGGCAGAGCTGACAGGGGACCCTTCTGTCTTTCCCTCTTCCCTCCTGCCCCCATCAGCAGGCTCCTCTCCACCCCGCCCTCACCACCACTGCAACTCACAAACTCCATGATGTCAAACTTCCTCTTGTCCTCAATCACGTTGATCTGAGGGCCCCCAAAAGACCTCAGGTCAGTCTTGAAAACACAGCGCCCCCTCCCACTGCACACAGGGGCCTCTCCAGGCTCGAGGGGCCAGAGGCCCTGGGATAGGGCGGGCACCTGCAGTGCATAATCCAGGGCTCGCCCCTGGTACCCCGCCCGCGCCGTCTTCAAGGCAGCTCCAGCCTCTTCGGCCTCCTGCGCCCGGCGCCTGGGGACCTCTGCGTTGTGGATGAGAGCAGCCTCCAGGCTCTCGGCCCCCCTCCAGAAATCCCGGCGAGCTTCTCGGAAACCCCGGAGACCCCTGTGGTGGAGGGGTAACTCAGAACCAGATACCCCCACCTGCCCCCTGCAGAGAAGTCCCAGGCGGAGGCCCACGCATGGCCTTCCATTCGGGACTCCGAGGGCGTGCGGGGATGGGTGACAGCAGTTGGGCCACCAGAAACCCCCAACACCTCACAGCTCCTCCATTCCGGGGGCCCCTATGGGGACGGGAAGAGAGACAGAGGACTGGTTCCCCTCCCGACTCACTCCTTGACCAGGGTTTGGATTTGCTGTTGCAGCATGTGCTGGGTGGCATCTAGAAGCTCCTGGGGGGGGGGGGTGGCGGGGGAGCAGAAATGGGCAGGTGAAGGTCAGGCAACAGACAGCCCTGCTCCCCACCACCAGTCCCTCCTGCTCCCCCTTACCGCGTGGCTCTCCAGCTTGTGGTTGAGGCTCTCGGTGAATTTGTCCAGACACTCCTGGGCACGGAGAGGCAGAGAGAGTACCAGGCGTGGGCCAGCCGGGCCCGCCGCCCCTGCCCCCAGCCTGCCAGGCCTGTCTCAGGCCACAGTCCCACGCCTGCTCCCACCTGGAGACCCCAGGCCGACCCTCCCCTTCCAGAGGGTCCCTGCATTCCAGACCCCAGCCCACTCTACATACCGCCATCATGGGCTCTGGTGGACCCAGGCGGGCCAGGTCACAAATGCCAGCAACAAAGGTGCGGCTAGCAGCAAGGTAATGGCGCCCGCTTTCCAGGAGGCCGTTCCCCAGCTTCAGGAGCTAAGAAGCAACGGGACAATGGGGAGTTATGCTGTGTACCATGTATGTGCTGGCACCCCCACACTGGTCCCCCCCCCACTCTCCCTTCCACACCTGCTTTCTCGTCTCTGTGTCTTTGCTCCCACTGCTCTGTGCCCAGCAGAAAATCCCTCCCGGCCTCTCAACAAAGCCCATGTCAGCTTCCCCTCCCAAACGTCTTTGTCTGTCTCCCTGCCCCAACTGCCTGGATCCAGCGCTCCCCGGACACCCCATCCTCAGGCAGTCTGGCTCTCGGCACGAATGCACCACCCGGCTGGTGGTAGGCTCGACAGTGCTTCCCTGTCTGGAGTCGTCCCATTCCATGGTCATTGAGCATCCCCCTCACAAAGATTACTTAGCCATCTGGCCACAGGGCCAGGGCAAAGACGGCACATTAGGGTGCTCTGGGGGCCCATTCCGTCTGGCCCGAGGAGGGTCCTTCTGGAAGAGCCAGGAACCGAAGTGAGGTCTCCTGACCTCGGGCCCTAGTTTGGGAACCGCTGCCCCTGAGGTGACACCACTTGGCTCTAGCCTGAGTCAACACCGGGAAGTTGTGTGGGGAAATCCCGGGGCAGCAAGGGCCCAGAAAGCTGGGGCCGTGCGTCGTCAGTGAACTTCTGTCAAACTGAAAGACACTCTCGAGGGCTGGTGAAGGCCACAGGACACTAGAGCTGGACTTGAAGATGGCCGACAGGGTCAGTAATGGTCAGGAAACCGGCCACGATCCAGCCTCATCAGATGTCACCACAAGCTGTCTGTGATCAGGCACAAGGACCCAGACGCTCACAACTTCACTTGGTGCAGCTAGGGCCCTGAGTGTCTGTTTTTTTTCCCTACCCACCACCCTTTCCCCATATGTGAGCTTTCTTAAGACAGAACTAGGGATAAACTGGTCCATCCATGCAATGGAATAGCGCTCAGCAATGCAAAGGAACAGACTATCTACGTAGGAACTGCTCGTACTGATACGTAACAACCCGAACAGACGTCAAGGGCATATTCTGAGAGAAGAAAAAGAAAGAGCCAATTTTGAGAGCTCACATACTGTATGGTTTCACTTATGTAACATTCTAGAAATGGCAAAAGTCTGGAGAAGAACAGATGAGTGCTTGCCATGGGTTAGAGAAGTCGGGGGAGGGTATCAGGATAAAGCGTCGCACAGAAGAGTTACTTGGGGTGATAGAGGAGTTTTGTGCTTTTTTTTTTCTTTTTCTTTCTTTCCTTTTTTTTTTTTGATAGAGAGAGTGCGGGCATGAGTGGTGGAGGGGCAGAGGGAGAGGGAGCAAGAGAATCCTAAGCAGACTCCACACTCAGCACAGAGGTAGATGCAGGGCTTGATCTCACAAGCCTGAGATCATGACCTGAGCCAAAATCAAGAGTTGGACACTTAGGGGCGCCTGGGTGGCTCAGTCGTCAAGCGTCTGCCTTTGGCTCAGGTCGTGATCCCAGGGTCCTGGGATCGAGCCCCTCATCGGGCTCCTGCTTGGCAGGAAGCCAGCTTCTCCCTCTCCCACTCCCCCTGCTTGTGTTCCCTCTCTCGCTGTGTCTCTCTCTGTCAAATAAAAAAAAAAAAAAAAAAAGAGTTGGACACTTAGTTGATCGAGCCACCCAGGCACCCCAGGATTTGTGTGTTTTGAATGTGATGCTGGTTACAAGAACCTATGCATGTGATTAAGTGCCACCGAATTATATACAAAGATTTTTTGAAAAAAAGAGTACAGTTGACCTTGAACATGGGTTTGAACTGCACTGGTCCACTTCTTAGTGGACATTTTTTTGATAAATACAGTACAGTACTGTACTGTATATAAACGTATTTTTTCTTCCTTACGATTGTTTTCAAAATTTTGTTATTTTTTTAAGTAAGCTCTACATCCAATATGTGGCTTTTTTTTTTTTAAAGATTTTATTTATTTATTTGAGAGAAAGACCCCTGTGGTGGAGGGGTAACTCCAGAAAGAGAAAGAGAGTGAGAACATGAGTGGGGGTGGGGAGGAGGAGCAGAGGGAGAAGCAGACTCCCCTCTGAGCAGGGAGCCCACCATGGGGCTTGATCCCGGGACCCTGACATCGTGGCCTGAGCTGAGGGCAGATGCTTCACTGACTGAGCCACCCAGGCTCCCCACCCATGTGGCTTGAATTCATGACCCTGAGGCAAGAGTTTCATGTTCTACCGACTGACCCAGCCTGGTGTCCCTCTTCCTTATGATTTTCTTAATAACTTTCTTCTAGCTCCCTTTCTTGTATGAACAGTATATAATACATATACCACACGAAATATGTGTTCACCAACTGTTTACGTTATTGGTCAATGGTGGGCTATCAGTAAAGTTTTGGGGGAGTCAGGAATTACATGTAAATTTTCAACAGTATGGAGGATCAGTGCTGCTAACCCTCACGTTGTTCAAAGGTCAAATGTATATGCAAAACAAATAAAATCCAAGTAAGTTCTGCACACAGTTCGTTGTATTGTGCCAATGTCAATTTCCTGGTTTTGGTAATGTACTAGTGTTATATAAGAGGCCACCGTTGGGGGAAGCTGGATGATGGGTACGTGGGACCTCCCTGCACCATCTCTGCAACTTCTCACAAGACTGTAATTAACTCAAAATAAAAGGGCTTAGGGGTGCCTGGGTGGCTCAGTCACTTAAATGTCCAATTCTTGATTTCGGCTTAGGTCATGATCTCGGGGGGGGGGGCGGAGAGGAGAGGGACCATGCTCAGCGGGGAGTCTGCTTGAGATTCTCTCTCCCTTTCCCCTGCTTGCATGTGCTCTCTTTCTAAAATAAATAAATCTTTAAAAAGAAATTTGGGGCGCCTGGGTGGCTTAGTCATTAAGCATCTGCCTTGGGCTCAGGTCATGGTCCCAGGGTCCTGGGATCAAGCTCCACATCAGGCTCTCTGCTTGGCAGGAAGCCTGCTTCTCCCTCTCCCACTCCCCCTGCTTGTGTTCCCTCTCTCGCCATGTCTCTCTGCCAAATAAAGTCTTTATTTTTTTATAGGCATTTTAGTTTATTTATTTATTTATTTATTTTTAAAGATTTTATTTATTTATTTGAGAGAGCGAGAATGAGAGAGAGAAAGCGCACATGAGAGGGGGGAGGGTCAGAGGGAGAAGCAGACTCCCTGCCAAGCAGCAGGGAGCCCGATGCGGGACTCGATCCCGGGACTCCAGGATCATGACCTGAGCCGAAGGCAGTCGCTTAACCAACTGAGCCACCCAGGCGCCCTAAATAAAGTCTTTAAAAAAAAAATAAAAAGAGGGCGCCTGGGTGGCTCAGTTGGTTAAGCGTCTGCCTTCGGCTCAGGTCATGATCCTGGAGTCCCGGGATCGAGTCCCGCATCGGGCTCCCTGCTCCTTGGGAGCCTGCTTCTCCCTCTGCCTCTCTCTCTCTCTGTCTCTCATGAGTAAATAAATAAAATTCTTAAAAAAAATCTCAATACAGGGCGCCTGGGTGGCTCAGATGGTTAAGCGTCTGCCTTCGGCTCAGGTCATGATCCCAGGGTCCTGGGATCGAGTCCCGCATCGGGGTCCCTGCTCCTTGGGAGCCTGCTTCTCCCTCTGCTTCTCTCTCTCTCTCTCTCCGTCTCTCATGAATAAATAAATAAAATCTTTAAAAAAAAAACTCAATACATAAAAAAAAGAAATTTAAAGAATAAAAAAATTCATATAAAAAATATGTATCTATTAATTGGTCGTCTGCTAACTTTCAGACTTGGCATAGGCACTGGGGACTGAGCAAAAACAGAACATAAAAGTCCTTCATGGCACTTAGGTTCTAGCGGGGGAAAAACAAACAAGAATAAAACTTGGCAAGTGTGACAGACACACTCTCAGGTGACCCTGGACGGTCCCCTCCCTTGCATCACCCCTTCTCCCCAGTGTAAGACACGTGACTTGATCCTACCCAACAGAATACGTCCAAGGCCACAAGACAGTGCTCCCACGACCAGGGGGACATGCCATGGGGCAGAGGGGACAGCCCCACGGCTCCTGTAGCCGCGTTTCGATGTAATTAGATGCCACGTTGGCAGCACTTGCTAGAAAGACCCTCCTGCGGGCCTTGAAGAAGCAAGCCGCCATGAAGTAAGCTGCTCAGGGCCACTCGGCAGGGGACCGTGGGCAGCCGTGAGCAGATGGAGGTCTCAGTGCTGCCACAGCAAGGAGCTGGAGAGTCTGCCAACGGCCCCACGAGCTTGGAGGGGAGCCCTGAGCCTCAGGCGGGACTGCAACCCGTGAGCCCGTGAGCAGAGGACCAGCGGGGCAGCACCCGCCTCCTGAGCCTCACACACTGTGCTAACAGGCGTGCGCTGGGTTCAGTCACTACGTTTGCAGTGACTCCTTAGACGCCAGCGGAATGTGAATGTGGCAAATAAAGACGCCCCACGTGAGAGCAGGGTGGACACGATAGAGAAAAATCAAGCCAAGGGGGGCAGGGAGTGTGCACATTTTATGAAGAGGGCGAGGGAGGGCCTTCCTGTCTCGGGTTTAAGTGTCTCACTGGTTTATCTCCCCAAGGCCGTCTGTGGGCTCCCTGGGGGCAGAACCGTCTTGCTGTCCCTGGAGGCCCAGGGCCCAGCATAAGGCTGGGCTCAGAGCTGACCCAGGAAGCCCACAGGGAGTCTGGTCTTCCAAGACCCTGTGCTCCTTGAGGGTACGGAGCCCCCACTTCCTTCTCTGTAGCCCCCAAAGTATTCACCCCACATGGTTGGCATTCAACAACGCCTGGAACTCATTCGAGGTCTCCAGTGTTCTCCCTGGCCCTGCCCCTCTCATCTTAATGCCATCCTGGGTCACCTCTCCATGTCACCTTTTCCAGCCGGGTCTCCAGCTCCGACACCTCGGCTTCCACCAGCTCGATGGAGGCTCTGGGAAGAGAGGGATGGGGTGACGGGAACAGAGCTTGGGTCCATCCAGTCCACCCGCCCCAGGAGGGTTGGGGTTGGGGTTAATGGGTAAGGGGACAGACAGCAAAAGCTGATGGGTGAAGAGGACCTGACCACCCACCTTCTTCTGCTCCCTCCCTCTGCGCAGTGGGAGCTAGCAGGGCCCAGGCCCCAGCGCAGGAAGGGTAAATGGAGGGTGGATGTGGTGAGGGCAGGAAGTTGCTAACCGCCCCAGCAGGTGCTGGGGGAGGGGCAGGGGTCCCCAGGAGCGGGACAAGGGAATGTCAACTCAGAGCGGGTGAGAGGGGCTGGAGCAGCCCCCTCTGCCGGGAAAGGGGGTGGAGAGCATCAGAGCCTGGGGTTGCATAGCAGAGGTTCTGGCCCACAAGCTTGATCTTGCCCCTTTGTGAACTTACTCCCCGGGAGGACATCTGGCCTGGGGAAGGTTGCATGTTGTGTGTGTGTGTGTGTGTGTGTGTGTGTGTGTGTGTGTGTTGGGGGGGGGGGGGGTCAGACCTCACACCCTGTGCCCCCCAGACCCGTGCACACTTACCGGAAGCGGGGTGAGTCCTTGAGACACTCCTCGAAATCCAGCTTGATGGTCATCTCAGCTTGTCTGTCTCCGGGGCCAGACGGGGGCGGGGGTGCGGATGGAGGTGCTCCCTGCCCCAGGAGGGGTTGATGAGGAAGGAGGAGGGGGTCCTCTCCCGGGGAAGAGCCTGGGGGGGCTCAGTTCCTTCCCCGAGGGTAAGGGGTGTCCCAGGAGGAGCTCTCACCCCACACTTGCTGGCAGTGCTGGGAGGGGCAGAGGCGGGGCCAGGCCCAGAAGCCACAGCCCCACCCACTGAGACTCAGCTGTCCCCTTCCTCCTGGGAGCCCTAGTCCCTCTGCTTCTTTCTCCTTCAGGCGCAGGGGGGTGGCAGATATAGGCTCAAGTCCTGATTCTGTCTCTCGGAGATTATGGGACCCCGGGCAAGCTCCCAGATTCCTCAGGTACTTCATCTGGAAGGTGGGCATGATGACCGCCCCCCACCCCCAGGGTTGGAAAAATGAAAGATGCTACTGGTACATTTAGGGTTGGATGAGCCATGCCAATCGCTGTCACCCTGCTGCAGCCGGGGCCTTCTGGGCCTCGGAGGCCCTTGCTGAGTCCAGTCCCCCAGGCTGCTCCAACCTTTCTTCTCTGCTCTGCCCACTGTGGTTTCCTGTGTGCAGAGGTCCCTTCCTCCTCCCCGTCCTCAGTGGCTGAGCAGGCCCATCCTTTGCCAACGATTCAGAGCACCCCGACTCCTGCACTTCCCTTTATTGTCCACCTCGAGGGTGGTGAGGGCTGGGAGAGGCTGGTCCCCACCCCATCCCTGGCTGGCTACATTTTCCATTGTCTGCTTCCCTCCTCTTGTGTCCATCGAAGCCGCAGGGTTTCGTCTGGAGGAAGAAAGGACTGGGTCACTGGCTTTCTTGTGACAGCTGGGAGATCTGGCCCATGTCCCCCTGAAACTCCCTAGAACCTACCCACTCAGGCCCTCTCCCTCCCTGGCCAGCGCAGGAAGCCACTCGCCCCTGCCTGGGCTCACGTCTACATTGGTTTTGGTGTGGGGAGTGTGGGCTGCTTCCAGGGTTCTTCTCCAAGCTTTCTGGGCTTCGCCAGTTGAGCCCCTTGGATACCAGCCACTGACACCAGCCCGACTGTGCTCTGTCTTTGGAGGACAGGGCAGCACCTGGAGTGGGGTGGGTGGCAGAGAGGAGTCAGGGAGGAGGTGTGGGGCCAGAGGGTATCCCAAGCTGGAGGGGGTCCCAGCCCCTTCTGAGCCTCCCCAGTTCCTCTCTGTACGATAGGGGCCTTGCACACCAGGATGCTTGGGGCCGCTCTTGGCATCTCTTGGTGATCTACCCTGGTTTGCAAAGAAGGGGCGCTGGGGGGCTGGGAGCTGGCCAAGAGCCAGCCATTGCGGCCTGGTGCCCTCACCAGGCTGCGACGTTGTCCCTGCCAGGGACTCTTCGGGGGTCCGGGGATCCTGAACGGGGCTTCCTGTGTGGTCCAGCAGACGGACTTCAGTGCTTATGGGATTCTCAATCACCCAGTTAAAATTTGCGGAGGCTGGAAGGATCAGGGATCAAGGTTGGGGCACCCGTCAGTCTGTTGGTTGTCAGCACCCCCTGCCCCAGGCTGACCCAGCCCAGCTCTCACTGTCCTGCTGCTCAGGCTCATCTTCTGTGTCCTCCTCGAGCTCTGGGTGGGGAGAGCACCTGAGGTACCTCCTTTTGCTATAATACTCCTTGCGTTGCAGATCAACCTCCTGGCCCAACACAATCGCGGCTGAAGGTGGGGACCGATTTCTGAAGGTAGGGGAATCTGAAGAGTCACCCCAATCACTCTGAGTCTTACAGCCACCTAGGGCATCCAGGATCCCCAGGTGTCCATAACGGCGCCCCCAGCACAGAGGAGAAGCTCAGGCCCCGGGTTCTCATCTCCATTCTATGCCCTCCTCCCATATTAGGAAACCCCAATGACCTCTCCATCCCCCACGCCTCTCTTGAGCTTCCCGAGGACAGCTGTGTTGAGGACCCCACCCCAGCTGCCCTCTGTCTTCCCTGGGCTCACCTCCCATTGCCCCCCCCCTGCCCCGTCAAGCACCATGGCTCACCCTTGATTTTTGGGATGTCGTTCCTGGTCACCAGGCCAATCTCATCTTTGAATCCTCTGGCCAGTCCTCCCGTCCAGCCTCTCTCCACAGGCCTGGGCTCTGGGTCCAGCATCACACCCCGACTGCCACCGCCCGTACTGGCACTGGCCTCGTTGCTGTGCTTGTTATTACTGAAGGGAAGATTTCTCTGAGCCTTGAGGAACTTTCCTTCATCATAGTGTGACTTTCGGTGCTTGTCAAAATCACTGGAGTCTGCGGGCCATTGTAAGAGCTTGGCTTTCCTGCCAGGCAGCTGCCGAGGGTTCACTCTGCCTCCCCTTTCCACTCAGCCCCCACCCCTCATCTCACGTGTCTTGGAAAAGCTGGCTGAAGACCCCGAGCTTCTGTTGTCACCATACTGCAGGCCCTTGGGGTAGAAATTGTCCATTGTTGCAAACCTGAAGGGGAGGGAGACTAGTGACCTTGGGGTAGAAATTGTCCATTGTTGCAAACCTGAAGGGGAGGGAGGCTAGTTGGGGGCGCCAAAGGGAGAGGACAAGAGACCCAGGTGGTAGATGGGGCCTAGCTGGCTGACTCCCCCACCTTGGCCTTGGTTAGTCCTGATGGGAATTGAAGTACCTCCCGTTTTGGTGGCCAAGAAGCAGAACAGGCTCCGACCCCAGGGATGGAGGAAGGAAGAGGCCCCAGATCTCTACTGATCTCTGGCGGGCCTCTCACCTTTCCGCCAGTGCCTGGGGAGTTACCCAGCCAGAGGATGGCCCAAGCAGGTCCTCGTCACTGTCCTGCAGCCTGCATCAGAGGGCGGGAGCAGTGCTGAGAGGCGGGCAGCAGGCAGTATCCAGGCCCTGAGACCGCTCCCCTCCCTGCACTCCCTACACTGGGAGGGGTCTGGGCTGAGGGCTCAGCACCTGTGGTAGGGAGTGCTGGGCTCATCCACCTTCATAAATCCATAATCCTTGCCAGCGGCGTGGTAGGTAGCCAGGATATTCATTTCATCCCACCGCTGGGACTTCTTCCTGGAGTAGGGGGAAGGACACAAGAGAGGGGGAGGAAACCTCCCAGCGACCTCCTCGTCACAGCCCTCCCTCATTCTTTCAATCACTCAAAACCTTTTTCTTTCTTTCTTTATTTGACAGGGAGAGAGGGAACACAAGCAGGGGGAGTGGAGGGAGAAGCAGGCTTCCCGCCGAGCAGAGAGCCCGATGCGGGGCTTGATCCCAGGACCCTCGGACCATGACCTGAGCTGAAGGCAGAAGCTTAACGACTGAGCCACCCAGGCGCCCCTCAAAACCTTTTTCTTGTACCCTCTCGTCGTGTCAGGGGCAGAGGAGCCTGAGGATGGGGGTTACACCTAATGATTATCACGCACTGTGGAACCAGCATATACCTGGTACCTGCTACTCTCCCCAAGGCCTGGGATCTCAGACTTCCCACCCAATTGCCCTCAGCCGCTCACACTTCACAGTTCTTAAGACTCCGCCCCTTTCCCCTAGCTCCGCCCCCGCCAGTGTCCGGAACCTCTCCCTCCCCGCTCCGCGTCGGGTCCCCGCTGAGCTGGACTCCTTACTTCTCTGCACTGGGGGATTTCTGCATCAAGATGGAGGTGCTGGTCTTTAGGATGCTGCGGGGCCGGTCCTCACAAGGTTTGTGGGAGTGCAAGAGAGTTGACCCGGAGCGCGGTGGACTGCATTCCGAGTTGAACACCCCAGAACACCCGGACCGGGACCGGCAGGTCCCGCATACACTGGTTCCAGGGAAGGGGGCATTTAATCCGTCAGGGTATGTGCCGGACCCAGCGCTGAGGTCCGCAACCCTCCCAGGGTGCTGGTTGGGCCCGGAACCGAGGACTGCTGCCCCCCCGGAGGGCCGGCTCGAACTAGGACAGCAAGTTACTACTCCCCCGGAGTGCGGGGAGGTCCCAGAATCGTGAAACAGGACAACACCGGAGGGCGGCCCGGCGTCTGCCTCGACTCCTCCGATTCCTCCTGGCACACCCTTGGTTGCCCCTCCCGGGGATTCGCCACTTAGGCCGCCAGCAGGCCCCGGAGCCTCCTGCTTTTCCATGGCCCCACCCGGGGGCCACTCTCAGCTGCCCCGCCCCGCCTCCTGGTGGCACATAGCCCCGCCCCGAAGCCTCGCCCCCCACCGCGGCGGGCTGGGGGCGCTCGGGCGGAGGCCCGGGTCCCCTTCCGCTCCGCTCCCTAGAGCCGCGGCCCCGGAATCAAGCTTTATATAGGGACCTCGGGCTAGGGGCCCCTCCGGTCGCCCCTCCCTTTCTTTCCCACCCAAAGGCCAGCTTTCTTTGTCTCTGGGATTTGTTCCCGCCCTTCTTCCCCATCACCGCCTTCATCCGAATTATCCAATCACAATCAGGGGCCCTGGTCACGGGGCGAGAAGCCCCATTTGTGACGTCACAGTCCTCCCACCTCGGCGCGAGCTCAGGAGAGTTGGGCTGGGAGCTTGTTCACAGCTCGGGGGTTTTGGGGGGAGACCGTCAGCGCCGTTACTGGAAACACCTGCCAGGGTTTCACTGGGCCTCTATCCGTGGCGTTAAGATTTAAGGGTTTGTCTGGATTGGAGTTCAAGGTGGGCTTATTTAGAAATATCGCGAGCCCTTTTATCCCATCCCCCAGCCCCCCAAAAGTCGGCCCGCTTTGCCTCTCACGAGAGGTGTGATACAAAGTGGAGGGGTTACGACAGTGTCGCGAAACATAGCCGATCTCGGTGGTGCGCAGGGCAGAGGTTTTCATTTATAAAGCTACCAGGTCCCTTCTCTGAATCCTACGGACGCCGCTCGGGGTACCCGCTCCAAAGCGTGCAAGCTCGAAGGGAAGACCCCCCCCCCACTCCTCCTCTTGCCGTAAAGCGAATACTTCAAGGTGTCGCCTGCCTCGGCGAGGGCGGGGTCGTCGGTGCGACTGTCGCAAAGCTGCAGGTGGGGGCCAGCACCCCCGCGTCGTAAAGATGCCTGCGGCCGTCGTTTCTTCCACTGTCGCAAAAGCTCCCTGCCCAAGTCGGCACGGCTGTCGGAGCCACTCCGTCACCCCGCCGTGCCGTAAAGCAAGCCTGCCCGACCCCGTCGTCCTTCCGTTCCCACCGTGGTGGTCATTAGTTCCCTAGCCCGGGATGCTTCATCGCCCGGCAGTGCCGTAAAGCATACCCGGCCCCAGCCCCGAGTCCTACTCCCTCCGGGTGTCTGTGCACCGCGGTTGCCACGGTGCCGCCAAGCGCGGCTGTCGCGCGGCCCCGGTGTCAGCGGCGATGGCGGCGGGGTCGGGTGGGAGTGGGGGCTCTGGGGGAGGCCCCGGGCCGGGGCCGGGTGGGGGTGGTGGCCCCGGCGGGAGCGGCGCAGGGCCGGGGTCCGGCGGGGGTCTGGGCAGCGGCGGGGAGCTGCACCCGCGCACGGGGCGCCTGGTGAGCCTGTCGGCCTGTGGGCGGACGGCGCGGCGGCAGCAGCCGGGCCAAGAGTTTAACCACGGGCTGGTGTTGAGCCGGGAGCCCTTGCGCGATGGACGCGTCTTCACCGTCCGCATCGACCGCAAGGTGCGGAGCGGGGCCCGCGGAACCGAGATGTGGAGGGTGGTGGGAGGGGGCGAGCGGGAGACACGGGGTAGGATATCCAGACTAGTCCACATCGCCGGCTACCGACAGACCTTCGGGGCACCGGGCGACGGGCAGGAGGGGCGCATGGAGCAGAAACGTTCGCTCGTCATGACGGGGAGAGGGATGAGGAGAGCTGGAGTTTCCTGCACACCCAGAAGCTGGGCAGGGACACGGGGCTGCATCCCCAGGAATGGTTAGGGACCAGATCTCCCGGAATCGTTTCTGGGAAGTAGAGGATGGAAGGATGTCAGGGATGTGACAGGAGGAGAGGGGAGAACCGAGGAAAGAACCAACCACTGGAGGATGAACTCGGGCGGAAAGATGGGCGAGGAGAGACCTTCGGGGAGAGGGAGGTGTGCGTGCTTGGGTGTGATTTGGTGAAGAGGCTCGGTGCACAGAGGTGGAATGTGGGAAGAGACGGAATGTGAGCCAGAGCCTAGGAGAACCAGGCCAGGGGGAGGAGGAGAGTGGTATAGGAGAGTTAGGGGCATGGGCGTGGAGAGCTGTGAACCCCGGGCTGGTGGAGGGGTCACAGAGACCACTGCCTCTCTGGAGTAGCGTTTCACGTCTCGGGACAGAAAAGCCAGTTAGCTGTCGGAGATGTGGGAAGAAGGGGACATGGTGGTCTGTGAAACGTGGGTTCCTCGTGGTGGGAGACCCATGGTGGCCCATCCTGAGCCTCTGTCCACCACCCTTATCACAGGTCAACTCCTGGAGTGGCTCCATTGAGATTGGGGTGACGGCACTGGACCCCAGTGTGCTGGACTTCCCAAGCAGCGCCACGGGGCTGAAGGGGGGCTCGTGGGTAGTGTCAGGCTGCTCGGTGTTGAGGGATGGACGTTCTGTGCTGGAGGAGTATGGTCAGGACCTGGACCAGCTTGGTGAAGGGGACCGTGTGGGCGTGGAGCGCACAGTTGCCGGGGAGCTGCGGCTCTGGGTGAATGGGCGGGATTGCGGGGTGGCTGCCACGGGCCTCCCCGCTCGTGTCTGGGCCGTCGTGGACCTTTACGGCAAGTGCACCCAGATTACCGTGCTACCCCCTGAGCCGGGTTTCAGCCCCCCTGCTCCCATCCCCACACCTCCCCTCGAGCCCTCCGCGCCCCCTGAAGATTCCGCCTTGACTGAACAGGGGACCTCTGGGGATGAAGGTGAGAACACAGGGCAGTGGTGGAGGGGTGGGGCAGAGGGAGTGGCTGAAGGCCTGGGTGAGACCAAGTGACAGACAAGGCTGGGTGTGAACAGGGTCACTCAGACCCCCCCCACCCCCCCGACTCTGTTGAAGGGGAAAGAAGGGACTAGAGCAGGGGGTTCTCCTGCCTGTGGGCCCTGCAGCAGTGGCTGAACCCTTATTCCCCTTCCATCCCGCCTGGTCCCCAGCCTTCATGGTGTCCCCAGCGCAGTCCCGGCCGGAGACGTTTCCTAACAGCCTCGAGTCGCATAATGGTGAGGGCTCCTGGGAGGCTTTGGGGAGCGGGAAGTGAGGTGGACGAGACAAGGGGAGGGGCCTCAGGAGAGGGCTAGGGGGAGGGTGGTGAGCCTGAGGGTGTAGAACCTCATTCTAGCTTCCCTCCCCCGTCCCGCTGCTGTAGACTTTGCCAGCATGGAGCTCTCCGAGGTGGTGGGCAACGCCATCCTGTCTGCCTACAACGGGGGGCTCCTAAATGTGAACCTGAGCTCCCCGCCAACAGGGGAAGGACTGGGGTCTGGCGGTACCGCCACCTCGCCCATCCTCACTTCCAACGATGCCCTGCTCTTTCACGAGAAGTGCGGGACGCTCATCAAACTCAGCAACAACAATAAGACCGCCGAGCGCCGCCGGCCCCT